TTGTTTGTGTCCCCAAAAAATATTAAATACTTGTATTGTTACTTTGCTTCTATTAATACTAGGACTCGAACCCCCCGCAAAAATCGCGGGGGTAAAGAACATCCAACCACACTTTAAAAAAAAATATTTTGTTATCTTAAAATACAATTTATTTTTTGAAACACATGTGAACATAAACTCATAATCATCTTTAAAATATTTTAAAGCATTGTTTATTTATCAATTCTCAAGTTAAGTTAACCCAAATCGGACTTATGAAGACTATGTAATAAAAAAAATTAAACATATATGAATCATATAGAAACTAAACAATTTAAATTATTAACATACTTTAAAGAATAACATAAAAGACCTTGAAATAAAAGTAAACACACATACACACAAAAACGCAACCCTATGCCTATGCGTTAATAACCACAAAACATATTTTTTGAAAAATAAGCAATCCTATGATACATTAATGAAAAGATAAATATTTGATTTTTTTAAAACACAACCCTATGATGTATCAGTAACCACAAAATAGTTTTTTTTCTAAATGCAATTCTATGATGTATTTGCTAGGATTGCCATTTGAAAACAATTATTATTGACAATGTATACAAATATGGGTACAATGCAAAATGTAAATCATGGCAATGTACGTAAGAAAAAGCTACAAAAAAAGACATAACTGAAGTCTAAATAACCATATTTTTTCTAAAAAGATGCAACTCTTACATTTTCACAGAATGATAGACACACCCTAGGATGCATTGTTAAACGGTAAACGGTTTTTATAGAAGACACAACCTATTATGCATTAATAACCATAAAACAAGTTTTTCTAAGAAGACGCAATCATATGATGCATTAAAATAGTTTTTTATTAAAAGATACAATTCTAAGATGCTTTAATAATCATAAAAATGTTTTTCCAAAAGATGCAATCCTATGATTCATTAACAACCATAAAACAAATTTTAGATGCAACCAAAAGACGCGATACTTAGTTGCTTTAATAACCATATAAAGTATTTTCAAAAAGACGCAACCATATGATGGATTAATAACCATAAAATAGATTTAATCGAAAAAGACAATTTTTATATGCTTTAATAACTATAAAAAAAATTATTTGAAAAAGACGTAACCCTTTGATGTATTAATAATCATCAAACAGATTTTTCCCCAAAAAATGCAATCCTTACATGTTTTAACAACCATAAAATAAATTTTTCGAAAAGACGCAATTGTATAATGCATGAATCACCATAAACCGGGCTTTTCGAAAAGACGCAATCCTAAGATGTTTTTGTAATCATAAAACGGTTTTCTGAAAAGATGCAATCATAGAATATATTAATAACAATAAAATGGATTTCTCAAAAATACGCAATCCTATAAAGCTTTATTAACAATAAAACCGGTTTTTCAAAAATACACGACTATATAATGGATCAATAACTATAAAATAAATTTTTTGAAAGACGGAAGCCTTAGTTGCTTTAATAACCATAAAACGGTGTTTTCAAAAATAAATGCAACCCAATGATGCATTAATGACCATAAAATTAATTTTCAAATAGACACAGCATTTAGATGTTTTCATAACCATAAAATGGTTTTTTTATAAAAAAATGTAACTCTGCATTAATTAAAACATCATAGACTTTAGAATTTAGCCATAAATTCTGCATTTGATAAAGAATTCCAACATTTGTTACACAAATCAATAATTTAGGAACTTTTACAAAAGTAAAAAATTCAACACTTTTGAATAATTTTAAAATAATAGAATGTCGTTTTTATCATTGTTATGCTTTAAGTGAATTTTAAATTTAGTAGTCATATAAAAATACACAAAATGTTCAACAAAAAATATATATAGAACAAACGGTTTTTTCGAAAAGACGCAATAATATCTGCATTGTCTAAAGAGATCCAAAATTCTTTACACAAATCAAAAATTTTAGGAACTTCATCAATAGTAAAAAGATCAATATTCTAAAATAATTTTAAAATAATATATTGGTGTTATTATCTATCTTATGCTTTAAGTGAATTATAGAACAAAATAGCCATAATTAACAAAATGATCACCGGCAGAAAAAAACTAAAACATATATATATAGGCTAAACGATTTTTTCGAGAAGATGCAACTCTTAACGATAATCATAAAGCGGTTATTTAAAAAATAACTGCTTAACAATTATTTTCAAAAAGACGCAACTTTTGACAAAATATTTATAATGAAAAGACACAACTCTTGACAAAACGGTTACAATGAAAAGACGTAACTCTTGACAAAAGCGGTTTTAACGAAAAGATTCAACTGTTGCAAATAACCTTAAAGCAATTTTTTCGAGAAGATGCAACTTTTTAAAATAATCATAATGCGGTTTTTTGAAAAAAAACAGAAAAACTAAAACATATATATATATATAGGCTAAACGATTTTTCTGAATAGACGCAACTTTTAGCGAGAATCATAAAGCGGTTACTTCGAAAAATAACTATTTAACGGTTATTTTCGAAAAGACGCAACTTTTGACAAAATAGTTATAATGAAAAGACATAACTCTTGACAAAACGGTTACAACGAAAAAACGCAACTCTTGACAAAAGCGGTTTTAACAAAAAGATGCAACTTTTAAAAATAATCGTTAAAAATAACTCTTGCAAATAACCATAAAGCGATTTTTTCGAGAAAATGCAACCAAAACCAAAATAAAAAACAATAGAAATCTGCCTGAAAGCAAATAAAAAACTACAAAATTAAAAAATCACTCGAATCGCACATTTAATTTTCATGCAGGGTCACACTGGTCCCTCTACAGTTTTGGGTCTTGTCCAGGTTCTATATTGCAGTTTTTCAATAGTTTCTTGTCCAGGAAGCAAAGCCTCCAGACGACGTCCCCACCATATCTAGCATTTAATTTTCATGCATGGTCACATTGGTCCCTATGCTCAAACGGCGATATAGGCCCCGTCGGTGAAGCTCCAAAAACACCACCTTCGAACTGAGTTATCCTGCCTCTAGTTTGGTATATAGCTGTTGTTGCTGCGCCACGAGCCCTTGCTGCTACGTTGGAGGACACGGCCCTGCCTCCACCGCTGTTCCCATCGATGGAGATCTCTTCTCCACTATCCTCTTCATGCCGACTCTCTCATCTRTACTTTTGTGGCTCTCATGGCACATGCAGTGTTGGCTTCTCTTCATCTGGTGATGAAACAGACAACTCTACCATCACCATTCACCACCATCGTGTTATCGGAGCTCACCTCCAACATCGAGTGCACCGTCTCCGCGTCTATGCCCAGTCAACATCGTCTTCTCTCCTCCACCGAAGTTTCGGAGAAAAGAGACGAAAGCACGGTGAGGGCGAGAGTGAAATGAATGGTGGTGCGGCAATCGAATCCAAATCCATGGCTATTTCCACCCATGTAACATCGACAAATTTGCAATCGATCGGTGAAGGCTCATCGTCTTCGCCAAATACTATGAAAATATACGATGCACAATTAGCCAAAAATCAAAGAAGAATCTCCATAACTAATTAAGTCAATATAACTCTCCGGTTAAGATTTGTCTCCATGCAATATGCGTAGCACAATGCTACTTTCTAAAACAAAAACATATGATACTCATCAAAAGTGTAGCTATTCCAAAAACCTAAATTCAATACGACAATGTTATAAATAAGAAAATAAATGTTAGATTCAATTTATGAGATTTGGTCAAAAACCCTAACACACAACACCAAAACCTCCAAAAAACGTTGGATTTCACTTAATCGAAACCTGAATAAATCGAAATTGATTTTCAAGATCATAAGTCGATAACTGCAATTATCAACAAAAACAAACGCACAGATCTTGGTTACGATGCCATTAGAAGAGGAGTTTGTTTATAAATAGCCGTTGGTTTTCTTGTGTGAATAAAATAAACATAAGATCAATATTTTCAATAAAGAGAAGAAAACTAAATTGTTAAAGCTTATATGATTCTATCGAGAACGAAATCCACAATAAAAATAAGTTGATTTAAAGAGAAAAAACGTACTGGGAGATCTTGCAACACAGATATAAAACGATACGAATTGATGAACAAAATTTAAAACTAAGAGTTGTATAACCTTGTTGAAGAATCGAATCTGTATGCATAACAAAAACCAAAAATACCTAAAAAACTACAAAAACAAAACCGAAAAAATCAGAATCGATTAGAATAAAAACCAGCAATAAAAATCAGAATCCTATGTGGCGTCTCGAGAGCGAGTAAGACTTGTTATGCCGAAAAATACTTTTAATGAATCTCAAAATTACACCCCTTGCCATCGAGTATTTTTTTGGGCCGAATTCCATCAATTACATTTAAAATTGGATTTGGATCTAATATTTCTATTGACCCATAAAGAATTTTTTATTTGCAACACATATATAAAACGATACGAATTATTGAACAAAAATTTAAAACTAATAGTTGTATAACCTTGTTGAATAATCGAATCTGTATACATAACACAAACTAAAAATACCTGAAAAAAACTACCAAAACAAAACCAAAAAAAAATCAGAATCGATTATAATAAAAACGAGCAATAATATAAAATAAAACAACGAACAAAGAACAACAAATATTAAACCTAAATTTTATGAAGAGGAAGTGACAAAGATCGATATATATATATATTCTTATAGAATTAGGGTTTCACAAATAAGAAATTATTTATGGGCCAATAGAAATATCAGATCCAAATCCAATAATCAAATGTAATTGATGTAATTCGGCCCAAAAAAATATCTGATGGCAAGGGGTGTAATTTTGAGATTCATTAATGGTATTTTCGGCAAAACAAGTCTTAAACTCGCTCTCGAGACGCCACATAGGATTTGCGACTTTTCATTTATAAGTATAGATAGATAAGTTTAAAAAGAAATAAGATTTGTATGAAATATGTGTCAAAATCTAATTGAATTTTTCTAACACGTGTCAAAATCT